GTGCCGAAATATTTACAGTCAAAGTTTATCGTATCGTATAAAGTGTATATATATATATATATCCCTTTTTTTACATGAATGAAATTTGTACAAGTATTAGAGCTAGGTTACGCGCTAGAACAAAAGGTTACCACTAAATTTACAGCCTGACCTGAACTTAAAATAGAGTCTCCAATGATTGACCTAACAACTACCGACTTATCCACTGTATGAACACCCTGACTGAATATATATATATAACTACCCAATGGGGAGCTATGGAAGTCCATCCAGCTATAACGTATATATCAAAACATATGCATTTGCATCTGTTTTAGGATATTTACCTTTGGTTTAGCTTCTCCCTGATCTTGCCCCTGAATTATGGTACCCTAGGGCCTAGAGAGGGCCTCGTCGGCATCTCAGCCTCAGGTCATGTTAAAACCTTTTTACGATCATGTTTTAAAAAATACGTTTTTAAAATTCATTATGTGGTATGGGTTTTATAAAACAATAGGATATGAAACGCTACATTAAATTTTCATCGTTGACCTGAAGACAATTTTGAAGTCCGTAGACCTGTATTTTAAAAATACTATTTTAAAAGTATAAACGTACTTGCATATCGTCGCTTCACACTGGAATAATAAAAATAAAAAAGGTGTCCATATATTCAGCTAGTATTTAGGAGGTACAAGACAGATTTGTGAAATATATATGTCCCTCTCGGCGCCCAGCCCTCGGCTTCTAATTCCGGGACGCCAGGCCGGCACGGGTGGGTTGGTCGGCTCACGGCCTGGCGTCTCGGAAGTAGACTAGTAGAGTAGCACACCCGAAGAATATAATCCGTTATTTATTGACTCCACAAGTATCACGTGTACATATCAAAACAGATTTTAAATTTTTTATTCGAGCAATGGGGCCCAAACTGGTACCAGGGAATGTCAAAAGTACAGTTTTTAGAAGAAGAAAAAACAGAGGTGCGGACAACAGCAGAAGGAATAATAGCATCTTTGGTTTGTAAGTGGTCATTTCAAAATAGTTGAATATACTGATTAGTTGAATCAAGATTCCGAAGCTATAGGTAATATCAGTAAATAGAAGGTGTGAGATGTTGACTTTATGCAGAGTCACAGCGATTTTTTTTAAAAACAATATTGTGATATTTACTAGATATATGTACCTTCATTTTTTTGAAGAAGGGGGCACAAATAATCCTATTGTTTTTATAGAATTTATATTTATTTATATTTGTTTTTGATGCTTTTTAATTTTGAAAGACCAACAAAGTCCCAACACTTTCTGTATACTTACTTGCATAACGTAAAAGATCCAATACGCTAAATATCGACCCTAAAACTTTTAATGGTGCCCGTGGATTCTCTGTCCTACTTATTTTTTTTAACTGCTTTTTCATAAATAGCCTCCCAATTTCACGGCCCTCTGGAGTCTGGATAGGGTCTCAAGTGGAACTCAAGTGGAAATCAAGGTTAAGCGGAAATCGAAAATTTAGCAGCGACCCAAATCCAGAGGGCCATGCTAAATTATTTTTTTTACAAGAGCTTTTATCGGATGCTATATACATTTACGTTTAACGCATACTCTAAAATGTAAACTAATCTAATAGTAAAAATGCATAGATATATTTTACAAAATTAGTGAATATATACACGAATTTTTATTTATTTAAGAGAACATCATTGGCTAAAATATCGAATTCAAATATCTCCAAATTTAGATGGCATCGCTATGATTTGCTCTGGTTTTAAACAAAATTAAAGCAAAGTTGAAAGGAAAACCCATACCAGAACCAACAATTTAGGGGTTTCCAACTCTTTTTTCTCATCTATCTCTTTTCTGTCACCGACTTTATTTATACGAGAGAGACTGAGAGAATGTCTGAATGTGGTCTCTACTCGTTCTCTATAGAATGTAGTATGTATTTAGAATTGTAGATTGTAGAGTTCCCGCACTGTGACGAGATTTTTGAACTTTTTTTGACACTCTGTTTTGAAAATTGGCGTCCTTACTCCTGAGTCCTTAGGGCTTAGGCTTATTTGGTTCATAGGACCAATCCCAGGGCCAGTTGCATATTGATCAGTGCAGTGCTTTATTTTGTCTCATTTGAAGGCATTTAGAAAAAGATATTGTCTATGAAGACAGAGAGACTGAGAGAATGTCTGAATGTGGTCTCTACTCGTTCTCTATAGAATGCAGTATGTATTTAGAATTGTAGATTGTAGAGTTCCCGCACTGTGACGAGATTTTCAAACTTTTTTTGACACTCTGTTTTGAAATTGGCGTCCTTACTCCTGAGTCCTTAGGGCTTAGGCTTATTTGGTTCGTAGGACCAATCCCAGGGCCAGTTGAATATTGATCAGTGCAGTGCGAGACTGCGTGCGTCACGTCATTCACCACACAGGGGCAAAATCTAAGAACAAAATTCTGATGTTTTTATCGGACAGTGCATCATGCATGTCAATGGCGGTAAACTGAAAACTGAAAATATACAGTATACACCATTCACCCTTGTTGTTGAGCCTTCTTTGCGGAAGGGTTTGTCGGGTCCGCGAGTCAAACCAAATTGTGAAAGGTTAGTTTTATTTTCTCCAGAGTAAATATTATTTATTTTGAATCAAAATGAAAAGTAGGCACATTCCGGGTAAAACGAACCCTTTATTTTACGTGGCGGTTTTGTCCGGTCAACTTAGAATTTTAGATTCCTCCTATAAAGCTTTCGAGCTTTTCTTTTTCGTTTGGCAGTTTCATAAACAACACCGACTCATATCCTAAATAAGCTGCTATTCAAATGGCGGACCAGAAATTGTCTTTGGTATACAATACAGTCGATAATAAATCAAACGAAACTGCTATCAATAAAGCAGAGACGGAAATTCTTAAATGCGACTTCATACAGGATCTATTAGAACCTATTTGTTATAACATCATGCAGAATATCGCCTTCGATCAGTATCAGATAGCTGATCATCAACCTGAGGCACCAACAAACTTAAATTCGAAAAGCGAATGGGACGATCTCATACCTTTTTTGACTGCAGCAGATAATCAGTTCCTGTGGGATAACAACCAAAGTAACTTCGATCTGGGGCCACTGCAGTTGGACCAAGTACCGCTGCCCAACCCATTTATAGGTGTCTTAGGCGCGGACACAGATAACCTGGCAAATCTGGACCTGGATAAACTAAATAGCCAGCTGAACAGTGCCATAAATAACATGCATGATCCTATAAATTACACCTTTCAGGATCATATTGATGTGCAAAAAGTTCTAAACTATGATCTATTGCTGCCATTAACCTCACTACCAGGCAACACATCCAGTGCGACCATCAACGATTTTATACCGGACTTCAATCTTGGCGTCCCGACTGTTAACCCGAATGCATTAACATCACACGATACGGAATACTTTTCGAAGACTGCCCCTGACAAGGTTTCGACTCAGGTTGAGGCAAATATGTCAACCAACATTTCACAACCCCCCGCGGCTGGGTCGAACGAAAGAAGTGACACCCAACTTTTGGAAAACGTGTCAACATCGGACACGCAGAAGGAAGCAAGTACCCCTACTACACCGCACAATATAATTCATCAAAGCTCTCCTCCCGACTCGTCCGCTGTGGTGATAGATCTCTGCAGGATGGAACTATGGCAACGCTTCCGGAGAGAGGGAACAGAGATGATAACTTCAACAAAAGGTAGACAAATGTTTCCACAGCTGAAAGTCAAGATAACTGGATTAGAACCTCAAAAATTATACGCGGTATGGTTGCACTTTGCCACCGATGATAGAGAAGACCAGTGCTGGAAGTGGAACTCGACTGTTGGCAAATGGGAGTTGAGAGAAAAATCCGGTAAGTTCATTCGGTCTTGTTTCACGACACCTTGGAGCTTTATAATAATACACACACACACACACACACACACAC